CAGCCACGTTTCATCTTCAATGCCCTTGCTGATGGAAGGAGGTTTGCACTCAAAATCTCACGATACATGGCCCCATTCATTCTGTCCTGTACATGGATCAGTCGTCCTGTTCCCTTTGCGGAGAAACAGCCCCAAAGCATGATGTTGGCACCCCCATGCTTCACAGTAGGTATGGTGTTCTTTGGATGCAACTCAGCATTCTCTCTCCTCCAAACACGAGGAGTTGTGTTTCTACCAAACAGTTCTATTTTGGTTTCATCTGACCATATGACATTCTCCCAATCCTCTTCTGGATCATCCAAATGCTCTCTAGCAAACTTCAGACGGGCCGGGACATGTACTGGCATAAGCAGGGGGACACGTCTGGCACTGCAGGATCTGAGTCCCTGGCGGCGTAGTGTGTTACTTATGGTAGCCTTTGTTACGTTGGTCCCAGCTCTCTGCAGGTCATTGACTAGGTCCCCCGTGTGGTCCTGGGATTTTTGCTCACCGTTCTTGTGATTATTTTGACACCACGGGGTGAGATCTTGCGTGGAGCCCCAGATCAAGGGAGATTATCAGTGGTCTTGTATGTCTTCCATTTTCTAATTATTGCTCCCACAGTTGATTTGTTCACACCAAGCTGCTTGCCTATTGTAGATTCAGTCTTCCCAGCCTGGTGCAGGTCTACAATATTGTTTCTGGTGTCCTTCGACAGCTCTTTGGTCTTCACCATAGTGGAGTTTGGAGTGTGACTGTTTGAGGTTGTGGACAGGTGTCTTTTATACTGATAACAAGTTCAAACAGGTGCCATTGATACAGGTAATGAGTGCAGAACAGAGGAGCCTCTTAAAGAAGAAGGTCCAGGTCTGTGAGAGCCAGAAATCTTGCTTGTTTGTAGGTCACCAAATACTTATTTTCCACCATAATTTGATAAATTCTTTCCAGATCAGCCAATGTGATTGTCTGGATTTGTTTTCTCATTTTGTCTCTCATAGTTGAGGTCTCCCTATGATGCCAATTACAGGCCTCTCTCATCTTTGTTAGTGGGAGAACTTGCAGAATTGGGTGGTGACTAAATACTTTTCTGCCCCACTGTTATGTATGTGTATATATATATACAGTTGCAAGAAAAAGTATGTGAACCCCTTGGGATTACGTGGAGTTTTGCATGAATTGGGCATAAAATGTGCTCTGAATGTCATCTAAGTCACAACAATAGAAGAACACAGTCTACTGAACATAATACTACACAAACATTAGATGTTGCCATGGTTTTAATTGCACATAACATGTAAACATTCACAGTGCAGGGAGGAAAAAGTATGTGAGGCCCTAGCTTAATGACTTCTCCCAGAACTAATTGGAGCCAGGAGTGAGCCAACCTTGACTCCAATCAGTGTGTGATGATATTGGATGTGTTGCTGACAGCTGTCCTGCCCTGCCCTTAAAAAAACACACACCTGTTTTGGGTTTACTGGTTTCAAGAAGCACTGTCTGATGTGAACCATGCCTCGCAGAAAAGAGCTCTCAGAAGACCTACGATCAAGAATTGTTGACTTGCATGAAGCTGGAAAGGGTTGCAAAAGTATCTCCAAAAGCCTTGATGTTCATGTGTCCACGGTAAGACAGACTGTCTACAAATGGAGAAAGTTTAGCACTGTTGCTACTCTCCCTAGGCGTGGTCGTCCTGTAAAAATGACTGCAAGAGCACAGCGCAGAATGCTGCATGAGGTAAAGAAGAATCCCAGAGTGTCAGCTAAAGACCTACAGAAATCTCTGGCACATGCTAACATTTTTGTTGACACATCTACAATAAGGAAAACATTAAACAAGAATGGAGTACATGGGAGGACACCACGGAGGAAGCCATTGCTGTCCAAAAAGAATATTGCAGCATGTTTGAAGTTTGCAAAAGAGCACCTGGATGTTCCACAGCACTACTGGCAGAATATACTGTGGACAGATGAAACCAAGATTGAGTTGTTTGGGAAGAACACACAACACTATGTGTGGAGAAAAAAAGGCACAGCACACCAACATCAAAACCTCATCCCCACTGTAAAACATGGCGGAGGGAGCATCATGGTTTGGGGCTGCTTTGCTGCCTCAGGGCCTAAACGGATTGTTGTCATTGATGGGAAAATGAATTCCAGAGTTTATCAAGACATTTTGCAGGAAAACGTACGACCATCTGTCCGCCAACTGAAGCTCCGCAGAGGATGGGTGATGCAACAGGACAATGACCCAAAGCATACAAGTCATTCAACAAAACAATGGCTGCAACATCACAGAATACGCCTTCTGGAGTGGCCCAGTCAGAGTCCTGACCTCAAGCCGATCGAAATGCTGTGGCATGACCTTAAGAGAGCGATTCACACCAGACATCCCAAGAATATTGCTACACTGAAACAGTTTTGTGAAGAGGAGTGGTCCAAAATGACTCCAGATCGTTGTGCAGGTCTGATCTGCAACTACAGGAAACGTTTGGTTGAGGTTATTGCTGCCAAAGGAGGGTCAACCAGTTATTACGTCCAAAGGTTCACATACTTTTTCCTCCCTGCACTGTGAATGTTTACATGTTATGTGCAATTAAACCATGGCAACATCTAATGTTTGTGTAGTATTATGTTCAGCAGACTGTGTTCTTCTATTGTTGTGACTTAGATGACGTTCAGAGCACATTTTATGCCCAATTCATGCAAAACTCCACGTAATCCCAAGGGGTTCACATACTTTTTCTTGCAACTGTATATATATGTGTGTGTGTATATATATATATATGTATATATACTGTAAGTTGAACTGTGTTTTTATTACAAAATGAATGAAAAATATTTTTAAAAATACATTTCAAATACACTGTATGTCTTTAAAAATACATTTAATCTTCATTTTTGGAATGCATTTACAAATATATGTAAAAATCTATGTTAAAATGACTTTTTTTTATATGATATAATAATAATATATATATATATATATATATATATGTATGTAACATATAAATATATTTATATGTTAAATAACAGTATATTTGAAATGTATTTTTAAGAACATATATATATTTATTGCAATATATTTTGAAATATATTGAATATGGCCAAAATTGTAGCATTTCAAATATATGTCATAAATTCTTTCCAAATCAGCCAATGTGATTGTCTGGATTTGTTTTCTCATTTTGTCTCTCATAGTTGAGGTCTCCCTTTGATGCCAATTACAGGCCTCTCTCATCTTTTTAAGTGGGAGAAACTTGCACAATTGGTGGAGACTAAATACTTTTTTGTCCCACTGTATACACACACACACCATATATATATATATATATATACACATACACACACACATATACTGTATATACATATATATACACTGCATGTTGAAATGCGTTTTTATTACAAAATATATGAAAAATATTTTTTACATACATTTCAAATATACTGTAATGTCTTTAAAAGCACATATCCAAATTTTTGGAATGCATTTACAAATATATGTAAAAATGACTTTTTTATATGTTAAAAAACAAATCTATGGCCGTGCTGGGGTAAGAAGTTTAACAAATAGTTTGTCAGACTAGAACAAACGGAAGGTTTAATATTCCTTTAACTGCAGATCAGTGTCAATGTGTTCATGCTATAGACGGAGGATTTGGCTATGTTTCACACGAGATATCTGCTCTGACAAATGTTCCCATACGTTGAGCCATATTTTTCTTCCAGTTATCACATCCTGAGAATAATTGCTAATTATTTTGTTATCCCAAATAAGAAACAGTCATTATAAAAAAGTAACATAAACCTTTTCAATGACACACATAACCTCTCCCACCGTCTCAAACTGTTAATATACTATCCATGATAAAGTCCCAAATTCAAAATTACAAGTTCCAAAATAAAAATTATATTAAAAATAAAAATTAAAAATTAAAAATTAAAAAATATTATAGTCCTTGCACTTCAATCTTCAAACTGTGAAATGTCCAAATCTTCCCTTCAGTCCAAAGAACCTCAAAAAAATAAACTAGATATAGTGCATTATCTTAATAAAATTAAATTATAAGTGATATCATGCAACCACACAGGTGATATAATATATACTAATAAATAGGTAACGCCTGTGAGGTGAAAATCAACACACCACTCCACAAGTGGCCCTGTGAAACAGCCACTGCAATACGTGAGATGCAACGTGAGATCCCTTGTGAAAAAGTCGGAAGTGACGAAACGCGTCAGGGTCGTGACGTCAGACGCTAGGCCGGAAGGAGCAGCGCGGCCATTTTTAAGGTGGTTTCGGCTATTAACGGACTTATCGAGGATGGACGGTACCTGTTGATAATGTAAGCTGCTAATAAATTATGTATACCTTATTTATTACTCCACTGAGTTTGCCCCCAATTTGTTCTGTGAGGAACGGGGATCCCGATACCCATTGCTACAGGAGGAAGGGATTCAACTGCGCACTCCTACTAAAGGAAAGCATATTCCCAGTGTAAGCAATCCTATCTGGGAAAAGGAAATTTCAAAGTGTTTTGAAAGCAGAAAGAGGGTAATTGTATATTATCCCATATGCAGAGTGGTGGCACCTATTTTTGGCACACATTTTGAAAGATCACTTATTGTGTATGTGTTGCATCTCACGTATTGCAGTGGCTGTTTCACAGGGCCACTTGTGAGTGGTGTGTTGATTTTCACCTCACAGGCGTTACCTATTATTAGTATATATTATATCACCTGTGTGGCTGCATGATATCACTTATAATTTTATTTTATTAACTTCTTGCCGACCGCGCATAGCCGAATGACGGCTTCACCGCGGCCGGCCAGTTCTGAGTGGACGTCATATGACGTCCTCCCAGAACGCGCTCTCCTGCGCGCCCCAGGGGGCGAGCACCCGGCGATCTCCGTGATCGCTGTGTCCTACGGACACAGCTGATCACGTGATGTGGTGAAAGGCCGATCCCACCGGCCTTTTACCACGTGATCAGCGGTGTCCAATGACACTCTGATCACAGGGAAATGCAAGTGCCGGTTCTCGGCTGCACTTTCCTCACGCTGTCAGATCGTGAGGAAAGTACTGCCGAGAACCGGCAGTTGTCAGAGCGGGGATCGGCACCGATCATCAGGGCCACTGATGATCAGTGCCCTGATGATCGGTGCCCAGCAGTGACACCCGCAAGCCCCGCCCACCCGTTCCCAGCAGTGCCCCCACCTGTGCCCAGCAGTGCCCCCACCTGTGCCCAGCAGTGCCCCCACCTGTGCCACTCTGCAGTGCCACCTACCTGTGCCCAGAAGTGCCACCTACATGTGCCCAGCAGTGCCACCCACCTGTGCCCACCCACCAGTGCCACCCACCTGTGCCCACCAGTGCCACCCACCTGTGCCCACCCACCAGTGCTGCCCACCAGTGCCACCCACCAGTGCAGCCCAGCAGTGCTGCCAGTCAGTGCCACCAGTCAGTGCCCAGGGGTTGTGCCAGTCAGTGCCGCCAGTCAGTGCCCAGAAGTGATGCCAGTCAGTGCCGTCTATCAGTACCCATCATCAGTGTCACCTATCAGTGCCGCCTATCAGTGCTGCATATCAGTGCCGCCTATCCGTGACCCCTAATTAGTGCTGTCTATCAGTGCCGCCTATCCGTGCCACCTCATTAGTTCTGCCTATCAGTGCCCTTTAGTGCTGCCTATCAGTGCCCATCAGTGCCGCCTATCAGTGCCCATCAGTGCCGCCTCATCAACGCAAATCAGTGAAGGAGAAAAAATACCTGTTTGAAAAATTTTATAAAAGAAACAAATAAACTTTTTTTTTTTTTTTTTAAATTTTTTTGCACTTTTTTTAATTTATAGCGCAAAAAGTAAAGCGCCCAGTGGCGATTAAATACCACCAAAAGAAAGCTCTATTTGTGAGAAAAAAATGATCAAAATTTCATATGGGTACAATGTTGCATGACCGCGCATTTGTCAATCAAAGTGCGGCAGCGCTGAAAGCTGAAAAATTGGCCTGGTAAGGAAGGGGGTATAAGTGCCCGGTAGGCGAGGGGTTAAGATAATGCACTATATCTAGTTTATTTTTTTGAGGTTCTTTGGACTGAAGGGAAGATTTGGACATTTCACAGTTTGAAGATTGAAGTGCAAGGGACTATAATAATTTTTTAATTTTTAATTTTTATTTTTATTTTTTATTTTTAATTTAATTTTTATTTTGGAACTTGCAATTTTGAATTTGGGACTTTATCATGGATAGTATATTAACAGTTTGAGACGGTGGGAGAGGTTATGTGTGTCATTGAAAAGGTTTATGTTAATTTTGCACTTTCAAGGGTGAAAGTTTGACTTTTCTGTGGGAAATGATAGAGTTTTGATTTATTATTATAAAAAGTAAAATACAACGGAACACTGACAGAACCGGGCCAAGCTGACCGGCACCTCTCCGGGCAAACAGATTCTTCTCTGGTTGCCCCATAAAAGCAGACGCGAACCCATCAAACAGTTTAGATTCTATTTTCTTCTTCTTCTTTTAAATCATATTAAGAAGAGTGTGAAGCGCTGCGAAGATACTGATGACACAAAGAAAGTCAATAAAATCTGTCGGCCTGGAACGCAACCCATAAAAATAATACGAAGACGATTCTCTTAGCCCAAAAAAAAAAACCCCGCACTCGCGGGCTCCTACAGAGATTTGACATATTTCATAATGATTCCGGATTAAAGATGGAATGGGGGAATCTATGGTGTATCTTCGCTGAGCGCATACTTTGAGTTATCATTGTAATATTCACCTTGAAAACTGAACTCCGGGCAGATATATATATATATATATAAAAAATAATGCAGTTATGAATTCATTAAAAAGCCATCAAATGTTTCCTTAAATGCAACTATTATAAGTAGCTGAATCTGTCTTGCTGTCATGGCAGACTGGGAGGGGGAGGGGCAGAATTAGGAGTCGGTTAAAGTGGTCATAAACCTCCGAAACGATAAATGAACAAAGCATATACTTCTTTAGTGTGTTCTTGCCGCAATACAAAGCACCTAGTGTGACTTCTGTCTGCTCTCCTTCTACTGTGTGGGTCACTTCTGACAGGTTATATATCGACACCAAGCAATCCCACAGCAGGCAGTTGACAGTCTCAGCTATGCATGTTTCCCTATGGAGGGGGGGGGGGGGGGGTGTCCATTTCCACTACTCAAGTCTCAAATTACACTCAGCTCACTGCTCAGTACTTTGCAGTGTGTGACATCAGATCCCCACCCCCTGACAGAAATGCTGTATACATTTTTGACTGTGAATGGATGTAGACGGCAGATAAACAGGTACAAATAGGATTTGTTTCCTTTCTGTGTATCACCTGAGGCCAGTCACTTCATTTGGGTGTATGGAAGAGTTTGCACCAGGGGCGGACTGACAACTCATGGGGCCCCCGGGCAATAGGGGATCATGGGGCCCCTGTGTCCTTGCCCACACTCAAAAAAAGCCTATGAAAAAGGTACCAGGGGCATCTCATGGGGCCCCCTACTGACCCCCGGGCCCTCAGGTAGTGCCCGAGTTTCCAAATGGTCAGTACGCCCCTGGTTTGCAACCACTTTAATAAACTTCTCATTCTTTCTCCCTTTTGGTCTGTAAAAGAGGAACTTCAATCCTCTTTATCCAACACCCCCCCCCCCCAAACGGTGCTGCCATCTTTGTAAGTCTGGAGCCGGTGCAAATGTGCCAAAGGGCTCTGCCCAAACGTCAGGACCTGGCAGAGCCCTGCAGCAGATATGCTCAGGCATGGAGGAGTTTCCATGCATCAGCAGACACAGCACTGCGCGGGACTTCAATACTCATCCATGCGTGGGAAGTCGGGAACACATGAAGCATTTATCTGCAGATTAATAAAACAGTGTAGATACAAAAGTTGCAATGTTACTTTGTATCTCTCATCTGATCAATGTTTATAAACAATGTTACTTTGTATCTCTCTATCTCATGTCTGATCGATGTTTATAAACATTGTTACTTTGTATCTCTCTATCTCCCATCTGCTCAATGTTTATAAACAATGTTACTTTGTATCTCTCTATCTCCCGTCTGCTCAATGTTTATAAACAATGTTACTTTGTATCTCTCTCTATCTCATGTCTGATCGATGTTTATAAACATTGTTACTTTGTATCTCTCTATCTCCTGTCTGATCAATGTTTATAAACATTGTTACTTTGTATCTCTCTATCTCCCGTCTGCTCAATGTTTATAAACAATGTTACTTTGTATCTCTCTATCTCCCATCTGATCGATGTTTATAAACAATGTTACTTTCTATCTCTCTATCCCCCGTCTGATGTTTATAAACAATGTTACTTTGTATTTCTCTATCTCCCGTCTGATCGATGTTTTTATAAACAACGTTACTTTGTATCTCTCTATCTCCCGTCTGATAAATGTTTATAAACAATGTTACTTTGTATCTCTCTATCTCCCGTCTGATAAATGTTTATAAACAATGTTACTTTGTATCTCTCTATCTCCCATCTGATCAATATTTATAAACAATGTTACTTTGTATCTTTCTATCCCCCCGTCTGATGTTTACAAACAGTGTTACTTTGTATTTCTCTATCTCCTGTCTGATCGATGTTTATAAACAATGTTACTTTGTATTTCTCTATCTCCCGTCTGATCGATGTTTATAAACAATGTTACTTTGTATTTCTCTATCTCCCATCTGATCGATGTTTATAAACAATGTTACTTTGTATTTCTCTATCTCCCGTCTGATCGATGTTTATAAACAATGTTACTTTGTATTTCTCTATCTCCCATCTGATCGATGTTTATAAACAATGTTACTTTGTATTTCTCTATCTCCCATCTGATCGATGTTTATAAACAATGTTACTTTGTATCTCTCTATCTCCCGTCTGATGTTTACAAACAGTGTTACTTTGTATTTCTCTATCTCCTGCCTGATTGATGTTTATAAACAATGTTACTTTGTATCTCTCTATCCCCCATCTGATTGATGTTTATAAACAATGTTACTTTGTATCTTTCTATCTCACATCTGATCAATTTTTATAAACAATGTTACTTTGTATCTCTCTATCGCCGGAATGATCAATGTTGATAAACAATGTTATTTTGTATCTCTCTATCTCCCATCTCAGCAATGTTTATAAACAATTCTACTTTGCATCTATTTCTTGTCTGAACAATGTTTATAAACAATGTTACTTTGTATCCCTCTATCTCCCATCTGATCGATGTTTATAAACATTGTTACTTTGTATCTCTCTATCTCCTGTCTGATCGATGTTTATAAACAATGTTACTTTGTATCTCTCTATCTCCTGTCTGATCGATGTTTATAAACATTGTTACTTTGTATCTCTCTATCTCCTGTCGGATCAATGTATAAAAGCAATGTTACTTTCTATTTATCTCCAGTTGGAACAATGTTTATAAACAAGTGCACCTTGTATTTCTCAATCTCAGGTCTGGACAGTGTTTACAAACAATGTTACTTTGTATATCTCTATTCTGAAAAAGTTTCCCTCTGTTTTTTTTTTTTTTTTAATAGCACTACCTGGAATATCTGATGTATTTACACAGCAACTCTTGACCGTAATTTTTAGAGTGGAATGGAGAGGAATCACTACACAGGGAGGTGAGTGGTATCGGGTGAGGGGCCCGGTGTACTACACATGCCCTGTGTGGTTTGTGTAGCATGCCCAATCTCCACAACTGGTTTAAAGGCCCAGACAATGTATCAGTCACTCAGTACAGAATTGCTGCCTATACTTAAGCCCTCCCTCATTGTAGACAGATTTAATTGCTCACACATTGTACCAATAATTTTTCTCACTGAGCACCGAGGTGGAAGGTCACATCACAACATCGATAAACCAACAATCTTCTCCACAGACACTTCCAAACCACAAAAGAAAAATGAAACATAAAAAAAGACGACCTTACGGATGAAAGTCTTTGAGAGTTTAGACCCGAGCGGTTGCATGTGTAAATTGTGCCCAGTGTTGGCGGCAGCGCCGCGGCGGTATAATTGTAAGCAACGATTGCATATGTCTGACCAACTGTGCCGAGACAAAGTAACGCTTTGCATTCTAATTGCAGAAGATCATTACATGTCCAGATATTAACACACGCTGTGCGGCAGATTAAAGCCTTAGGAGTCCGCAGAAAAATTACGTTTGAAGAAACAACAGAACATTATCGTTTCACGAGGTTACCGGGAGGAGGGGAGGTGAGTTTGACCGTTCTGATTGCTGCTGTTTAGAAATTCTGGTTGCAGGAAGATTCTTGTCCTATTTAACTGTTTTGAGACTCTTAAGGTGGACATGCAAGGAGAAAAGGTTTGAGACGGTTCCTTATGAACCAGCCGAAACTCGAGTTGTGGGTGACCTTCTCAGCCTCCCATCCATCCAACATCCTTCCATCTGAAAATTGAAGATTTGGAAATTCCAGTCACAGGAAGATTCTTGTCCTATTTAACTGTTTTGAGACGCTTAAGGTGGCCATGCAAGGTGAAAAGGTTTGAGACAGTTCCTTATGAACCAGATGAAATTCAAGCTGTGGGTGACCTTCTCAAGCCCCCATCCATCCAACATCCTTCCATCTGAAAATTGAAGATTTGGAAATTCCGGTCACAGGAAGATTTTTGTCCTATTTAACTGTTTTGAGACTCTTAAGGTGGACATGCAAGGAGAAAAGGTTTGAGACGGTTCCTTATGAACCAGCCGAAACTCGAGTTGTGGGTGACCTTCTCAGCCTCCCATCCATCCAACATCCTTCCATCTGAAAATTGAAGATTTGGAAATTCCAGTCACAGGAAGATTCTTGTCCTATTTAACTGTTTTGAGACGCTTAAGGTGGACATGCAAGGAGAAAAGGTTTGAGACGGTTCCTTATGAACCAGCCGAAACTCGAGTTGTGGGTGACCTTCTCAGCCTCCCATCCATCCAACATCCTTCCATCTGAAAATTGAAGATTTGGAAATTCCAGTCACAGGAAGATTCTTGTCCTATTTAACTGTTTTGAGACGCTTAAAGTGGCCATGCAAGGAGACAAGGTTTGAGACGGTTCCCTATGAACCAGACGAAACTCGAGTTGTGGGTGACCTTCTCAGCCTCCCATCCATCCAACATCCTTCCATCTGAAAATTGAAATTCCAGTCACAGGAAGATTCTTGTCCTATTTAACTGTTTTGAGATGCTTAAAGTGGCCATGAAAGGAGAAAAGGGTTGAGACGGTTCCCTATGAACCAGCCGAAATTTGAGTTGTGGGTGACCTTCTCAGCCCCCTATCCATCCAACATCCTTCCATCTGAAAATTAAAGATTTGGAAATTCTGGTCACAGGAAGATTCTTGTCCTATTCAACTGTTTTGAGATGATTGAGGCGGCTATGCAAGGAGAAAAGGTTTGAGATGGTTCCTTATGAACCAGCCGAACTTCGAGTTGTGGGTGACCTTCTCAGCCCCCCCCCATCTATCCAACATCCTTCCATCTGAAAATTAAAGATTTGGAAATTCTGGTCACAGGAAGATTCTTGTCCTATTTAACTATTTTGAGACGCTTAAGGTGGCCATGCAAGGTGAAAAGGTTTGAGACAGTTTCTTATGAACCAGACGAAATTTGAGTTGTGGGTGACCTTCTCAGCCTCCCATCCATCCAACATCCTTCCATCTGAAAATTGAAATTCCAGTCACAGGAAGATTCTTGTCCTATTTAACTGTTTTGAGACGCTTAAAGTGGCCATAAAAGGAGAAAAGGGTTGAGACAGTTCCTTAAGAACCAGCCGAAACTCGAGTTGTGGGTGACCTTCTCAGCCTCCCATCCATCCAACATCCTTCCATCTGAAAATTGAAGATTTGGAAATTCCGGTCACAGGAAGATTCTTGTCCTATTTAACTGTTTTGAGATGCTTAAAGTGGCCATGCAAGGAGACAAGGTTTGAGATGGTTCCTTATGAACCCAGAAATTTGAGTTGTGGGTGACCTTCTCAGCCCCCCATCCATCCAACATCCTTCTATCTGAAAATTGAAGATTTGGAAATTCCAGTCACAGGAAGATTCTTGTCCTATTTAACTGTTTTGAGACGCTTAAGGTGGCCATGCAAGGTAAAAAGGTTTGAGACGGTTTCCTTATGAACCAGCCGAAACTCGAGTTGTGGGTGACCTTCTCAGCCTCCCATCCATCCAACATCCTTCCATCTGAAAATTGAAGATTTGGAAATTCCGGTCACAGGAAGATTCTTGTCCTATTTAACTGTTTTGAGACTCTTAAGGTGGCCATGCAAGGAGAAAAGGTTTGAGACGGTTCCCTATGAACCAGCCAACCGAAATTTGAGTTGTGGGTGACCTTCTCAGCCCCCCATCCATCCAACATCCTTCCATCTGAAAATTGAAGATTTGGAAATTCCAGTCACAGGAAGATTCTTGTCCTATTTAACTGTTTTGAGACGCTTAAAAGTGGCCATGCAAGGTGACAAGGGTTTGAGACAGTTCCTTATGAACCAGACGAAATTCAAGCTGTGGGTGACCTTCTCAAGCCCCCATCCATCCAACATCTTTCCATCTGAAAATTGAAGATTTGGAAATTCCGGTCACAGAAAGATTTTTGTCCTATTTAACTTTTTAGATAAGTTCCAACTGACACCATTGATCTTTGTTAGCAATCTGTATGGGGGTAATTCTTCCCAATGACCATAGCTGTAAGGAGCATCCTTCCTATTGACATCACATAATGCATCATGAGCAGGGGCGGACTGACAATTCATGGGGCCCCCGGGCAATAGGGGATCATGGTGCCCCTGTGTCCTTGCCCAAACTCAAAAAAGCCTATGAAAAAGGTACCATAGGCATCTCATGGGGCCCCCTACTGACCCTGGGCCCTTGGGCAGTGCCCGAGTTACCAAATGGTCAGTCCGCCCCTGATCATGAGTTGCAGACATTGTAATTTTTAACAGGTGTTCCTTGAGATTGGAAACTTATTTCAAGGATTCCTCTGTGTTAAAAAGGGCACAGCACCAAAAAATGTGCCCCTTATCTATCCAATGTCTATGGTGACTCTATATTCAACAGCCAAAAATTGAACACCACTGTATAGACCAGGGTTTCTCAAATAGGGTTCCATGGAACCCTAAGGTTCCTCCAGAGATTACTAGGGGTTCCTTGAGCAATGAGTACTTTCTGCCTCTCAGATAAGTTCCAACTGACACCATTGATCTTTGTTAGCAATCTGTAGGGGGGTAATTATTCCCAATGACCATAACTGTAAGGAGCATCCTTCCTATTGACATCACAGTAATGCATCATGAGTTGCAGACATTATCATTTTTAACAAGGGTGCCTTGAGATTGGAAACTTATTTCAAGGGTTTCCTCTGTGTTAAAAAGGGCACACCACCAAAAAATGGGCCCCTTATCTATCCAATGTCTATGGTGACTCTATATTCAACAGCCAAAAATCGAACACCACTGTACAGGCCAGGGTTTCTCAACCAGGTTTCATGGAACCGTAAGGTTCCTCCAGAGATTACTAGGGGTTTCTTGAGATTGGAAACTTATTTCAAGGGTTCCTCTGTGTTGAAAAGGTTGAGAGACGCTGGTATAGACTACAACAGATTATCATCTGTTTGTACCCAAACAATATGAAATGACAGTGTCTGCAATTTTCATGTCCCGGCTATACTGTGATATCACATATTGGCGATAAGGACAAAATCCTTTCTTGTAGTTGAGGTCCATTTGGTTCCAATCTATTTGTCTCTACGATTAAGCCCCAAAAATGGAGTTCTCTACGTGCGGAGAACAGGAGCTAAAGCCATCTTTCACCTATTTCCTTCAAAGTCATGCAACAGGGAGTTGGTGTCTGTGTGGCCGCCATTTTGTTTAAGTCCACTGGAGCCTAACAAGGCGATCCAGTCTGTCTTGCAGCCAATCTATTCTCACGCTGATCTGACTGATACAGTTTTGATGGGTGTAACGGAACCGACCCAGACCAGCTTGGGTACTTCCGTTAGAATACCGCTTCCCCGTCCGAACACCGACAACAGACACCACAGCCGACCACACAAGACAGACGACACCAATCTTGAAGTAATCTAGAAGACTACTTTATTTTAACACAGATACAAGATATATACACTCAGGGGGAAATCCTCCCTCCCTGCATAATGACACAGGGTGGGGCAATCTACAATTAGGAACAAGAGATACACAGGTATTAAAACTTCACACCAGCAGACAGTCCCATGAGGAGGGAGGGCTGCTGGAGACACCCCCACTAAGCCAATACACAAACTCATACACCCCATAATAGTTTGCTCCCAAGCAAAACACACAATAGAACAATGGGATGCAACCACATGCATTAAGCAATCAACAGACCCCCCCACCCCAATATTAGGACAGATCACCCTGTACCCCTAACAGGCACAGGGTGACTTACACATAAGAGGGATATGGGGAGCTGAGACAGGGGTCTCCCCACCTCTCCAAAGTGAGCTGGTTCCATGGGCCCCCCACCCAAAGTGACTCCCGTCACAAAGGGCACTATTTTCACTGTTTTAGGCTACTTTATTCTTGCAACACTGTAGGAATTGGAGAGCCATGAAAATGAACTGGAGAAATCAAACATCAAATATTTTCATGACTTGCTGAACTCCGTTGCCTGAAATACGAAAATGAAAATAAAAAACTGAAAGCAATGTGATATCTGTTTATTTGTGTGGATAATGCCCCCCAGCACCCCGTGATGTCCGTTCTATAGATTGCATCCTGCCCTCCACACACAGGTCATTATGTACGTGTGAATGGAGACACAGGGCAGATGGCGACACACTTATGTGCCAGACACGGCTGCCAAGTATTCCTCGAACTTGGGTCAGGATCCGCACAGACAGTTGTGTTCCATTACATATACTCTATTTATTTTGGCTCCTCTGTGTTAAGCCCCGTACACACGATGAGAAGATTGGACGAACGATCGTTCGTTTTGGGTTTTTTTTTTGCATGTTACTTTCATATTGAAAGTGAAGAGGTTACTAAAGATAGGAAAATTTGGAAGTGATGTCAGGTATTTGTATTGCATTTGTAGATGAAAACTGTACTGACTAAGCAAAAATCGTATGAGAAACATTTTCCGTGCTCGTCCCTTCAAATAATGGCGGACAAAAGATGTGTACTAATGACCAGATTATCGTATGATCGCTTCAAAAGTGGTATTTTTTTGCATGCTTTTCTGATCTTCCCATATGGAAGAAAAATATATTTGAAAATATATTTTAAAAATATTCTTCCCAAATATATTGACATATATTTGAAATGCTAAAATTTTGGCCGTATTCAATAGATTTCAAAATATATTTCAATAAATATACATACAGTCATGGCCGAAATTGTTCTGAAAAATACCCTTGATATTATTTCCTGAAAACAGTATTTCACACAAAAAAGGTATGCATATAACACATGTTTTGCTATACACATGTTTATTCCCTTTGTATGTATAGATGGAACAAATATAAAACAGAGGCAAAAAGCAAATTAAAATGACATAATAAAGACACAAAACCCCAAAAATGGGGCTGGACAAAAGTATTTTTTTAACTTAATATTTGGTTGCACACCCTTTGGAAAACATACTGAAATCAGTCGCTTATATAACCATCAATAAGCTTCTGACACCTCTCACCGGTGTTTTGGACCACTCTATAAGTTTGCAAACAGCTCCAGTCTCTATATATATGGAATATATATATAATAAAACCTTTTCCCAACAAAAATTTTAAGATCTCCCTTGGTGTTACAATGGGTTTTGCATAATCTGGGCTCATTGCTGGCCACTTCAGAATCTCCAGCGCTTCTTTGCCAATCCATTGCTGAGTAATACTACACGTATGTTTGGGGTGTTGCCCTGCTGGAAGATTGGATCTTAACATGCAAACCCAGCTTTCTGACAGGGCCCACAGGACCCAAAATCCTTTGGTAATCCTCAGATTTCATGATGCCTTGCACACAGTAAGGCACCCAGTGCCAAGAGGCAGCAAAACTTGACCCCAAAACATGTTGAACCTCCACCATATTTTACCGTAGGTACTGTGTTTTGTTCTTTGTAGGCCTCATTCCGTTTTCGGTAAACAGTAGAATGATGTGCTTTACCGAAAAGCTCTGCTGGTTTTGGAAACACTGTCCACAAGTGAACGTTTTCCCAGAAAAGAGCTTTTGGACCTTACGATCAAGAATTGTTGACTTGCAAAGCTGGAAAGGGTTGCAAAAGTCTCTGCAGTGGGGCCTCCTGATGTTCATGTCTCCTGCCATAGCAGTTTCATTTCATTTAAAATCGACGGAATAGTCGCGCACTGACACTGATGCTACCCTGAGCCTAGGACAGCTTGAATGTCTTTGGAACATGTTTGGGGCTGCTTAGAGCCAGCGCAGACTATGCATGCGGTAAATCAGAATCCTCATCCGTCCATACGACCAGGAGATTAGCTACAGAAATCCATGGCACATGCTAACATTTTTGATAATGTTGCGCACTGTGGACAATAAGGCAAATCTATTCTCTGGAGATGGACTTGTAACCTTGAGATTGGAAGCCATTTTGCCAAAAACAATTTTGGCAGGTCCTGAAGAAAGTTCTCGTCTCCTCTTTCTGTTGTTTCCATGCTTAGGCAGTGGCACAGACAGAACACAATGCAAAGGTTAAGTGAACGTCTCTCCTTTTTATCTGAAAAAAAGGTGTGATTTCTATATTGCCCACACCACTGTGAAACTTGCCCCAGGTGAGCATCATTTTGGGAGCATGCCACAGGGCTTGTAACATTCTTGTTATCCGCAGTTGGGAAAATGGGTGCCAATACTTTTATCAAGCCCATTTTGCAGGAGTTTGTGTGACCATTATGTCGAATTTGCTTTCTTTCCTCCCTTTTTTTGTTTGATCCCATACAGGACAAAGGGACCCAAACATGTGTAATTCAGCAAAACAATGTGCTGCAATGCAATACGTTTCGTGAGTAAATACATGATTTCCTGAGAAATATCAACCCGGTGCCAAAATGCTGTCGGCCATGACCTTGTATATATATCACAAACATCCCAAAATACATTTCAAATAAACTGTTTTGTTTAACATGTAAAAAAAATGTATCCATATATATAGAGGTTTATTTTAACATATTAAAAAAGTCATTTTAACATAGATTTTTTACATATATTTGTAAATGCATTCCAAAAATGAAGATTAAATGTGTTTTTAAAGACATACAGTGTATTTGAAATGTATTTTTAAAAAATATTTTTCATATATTTTGTAATAAAAACACATTTCAACATACAGTATGTAATTATATATATATATTTAATATATATATATATGTATATATGTGTGTGTTCTATTGTTGTATATAATGTGTTATATATTTATATACATTCATGCAATATATATATATATATATATTTATATATGCAACTGTATATATATATATATACATACATATACAGTCAGGTCCATAAATATTGGGACATGGACACAAGTCTAACATTTTTTGTCTCTATACACCACCACAATGGATTTGAAATGAAAAGGAACAAGATGTGCTTTTAACTGCAGGCTGTCAGCTTTAATTTGAGGGTATTTACATCCAAATCAGGTGAACGGTGTAGGAATTACAACAGTTTGCATATGTGCCTTCCCACTTGTTAAGGGACCAAAAGTAATGGGACAATTGGCTTCTCAGCTGTTCCATGGCCAGGTGTGTGTTATTCCCTCATTATCCCAATTACAATGAGCAGATAAAAGGTCCAGAGTTCATTTCAAGTGTGCTATTTGCATTTGGAATCTGTTGCTGTCAACTCTCAAGATGAGATCCAAAGA